CACTTACACAATGATCAAAAGGATTCATGTCATGATTTTTTCGACAAGTTTTATGCTGGCTGTCGACTACCTAACGCAACCCTTCACTTTTCTCATCCGGGCTTGGGACCAGCAACGACAGTGTTATTTAACTTCTTTACCTAGCACTTTCCTCATCCGGGTTTAGTTCATTTAACTAACCGAACGAAAAAAAATTTGTTCATGTTCGTCTCTTTTAATTATCGAACGAATCGCACGAACTCATTGACGAACCGAACATGAACTGTTCGCAAACAACGAGTTTTTTTGACAGCCCTACACAAAAGGCTTAATAAAAATAATTAAATTTGCTTTAAGATTCACTAATTGCATTTTCAAAATAAATTTAATCATTTTCTGAAATAAATGTTATTCCAACTTACTTCCTATTTAAGTCTTTCGTATGAATTTATGTGTAAAATATTTAAATTTAATCATTTTTTCACATCTATAAACTAATAGTGACAAAGGTATCAACATATTTTTCATGATGTAGAGAAGTTTGAAAATAGTGTAAATTTATATTTACTTGAATGCCATAATTAAATTTATATTAAATCATGTTTAACAAATCAGCTATCAAGAACTTTAAATAAGACTTAGCATTGGGTCTAAGTACATATGAGTTTGAGGGGTCTCACAACAACTCTTTATGGGCCACATTGATGTATGCTAAATATTGTGCTGAGAAACATCCTATGTCTATCACTCCTAGGAAAAAAAAAAACTATTTTATCTGGAAAGAAATGTTAAAGGTTTCAAAGGAAACTTAAATTTTTTGTGTTGGGATTTGGGTAAGAGGCAGTGCTCTTTTTGGTTTGAGGATTGGATGGGTAATGGGGCTCTTGCTAATCATTATGGATGCCTTCTTGATATTAATATAAAGGTTAATCACTTCTGGTCTCAGGATAATTGGAATAGGGATAAGTTGATGCAATCTGTTAATCTTACTGATGTTAAATTCATGACCTCTATTCCTATATTTAGTAATAAGAAAGATAGTGTGATTGTCAAAAAGAGGTTAGATGATTCGATTACCAAAAGCTTTGCTTCTGCTATTATGATATCTAATGGTTTGAATCTAGATTGGGTTTGGAATCCATGGTTAAAACAGTTTATGTCTTTCTTTATATGACGTGTCTTAAATAACCACATTCCTACTAATGATATTCTAAAAAAGAAAGGTTTAAGACTTACTTCTCGTTGCATCCTTTGTAAGGAAAAAGAGGAATCTATTACTCATATTTTTTGTCATTACTCATATTTTTGGTCACTGTAGTTTTATTACTGAAATTTGGGACATGCTTAATGAGAGACTCCTTAATTTTAGAATGGATTCTTCTTTCCATTCTATTTCTGATTTGTTTAACAGATGGAAGAATATTGGTAAGGTGTTCTTTAATATTGTTCCTTGTGTGGTCTTGTGGTTTATATGGATAGCTCGGAATAATGTCATTTTTAAAGGTGACAAGCCCAATATTTGCAATACATTGGGTCTAATATTTGGTTACTTGTGCAAAAGTTTGACTCATATTAACTTTAAAGGTAAAGGTTTAGATATGTTGTCTGGCTATATTCAGCAGATGGTGTTACACAATCATTCTGTTAAGCAGTTTAATCGAGTTAATTGGTGTAAACCAAATGCTCATTATTTTAGAATAAATACTGATGGATGTTGGAAACCGAATGTTGCTAGTGTGGATGGTGTTTGTCGTGATTTTGTTGGATCCATTGTTTCTTGGTTTGCAGGTGTTACTGTTCCTTGCTCACTATTAACTGCTGAAGCTGATGTGGTAGTCTTTGGACTTATGGTTGTTAAGAGGCTGGGTATATATAATGTCATTATTGAAATGGATTCTCTGATCCTTTTGGAAATGTTGTAGGTTTGCTAAGGAGGCACGTTAGAGTATTTTGATTCAGATGAAGAGAATTAAAGCTTTAACAGCGAGTATGAATGTGATTTGGTCTTATGTTCGAAGAGAATGAAATTCTTTGGCTCATTGGACTGTTAAGTTTGGGTATAATTGTTCGATTGCTAAAGTTTTCTTTACAATTCTTGATGATATGTTAGCTTTTGCTTTTAAGGATTTATCTTAATAGTGTTCCTTATTGGGGTTTGGGTGTCATGAGTTGTATTTTTTTTTTTTTTTATTGATAGGAATCCTTTTTATTTTCTTTGTGTGAGTTATATAGGGTTTAGGTTGGGATCCTATTCTTAATTTTGTAATTTTTTTCTTGTGGTAATAAAATTGAAGCATTTTGTGCTCTTTAAAAAAAATATATAGTGTCTGGGTGTACTTGTGAACTCGTTTTAATTAATCGATGAGTTTTGAATGTTTATTTCATGCTTATTGATTTTCTTGAAGTCTTGAGAGTTAATTAGGGTTTAGGTTGGGATCCTATTCTTAATTTTGTAATTTTTTTCTTGTGGTAATAAAATTGAAGCATTTTGTGCTCTTTAAAAAAAATATATAGTGTCTGGGTGTACTTGTGAACTCGTTTTAATTAATCGATGAGTTTTGAATGTTTATTTCATGCTTACTGATTTTCTCAAAGTCTTGAGAGTTAATTATGCCTATGCCTAATTTGTTTGCCAATTTGTAATAGTTTTAATTTGAATAATGTACATACAAAATGTGTCGGTGTTGTTCGTGAGGAGATCTAAAGATCCATAAAAAAAGAGTATGACGGAGAGGACTAGCCAACATAAGATTATGAGACTCACTTTTCTGATCAAGTGAAGTTGCTTGATCTAAAGCTAGTGAGGCCAAAGTCGACCAATTTGCGAGAAAGACCAAAGATAACCAAAAGATGTAAGAAAAAGCCAATTCAAGGAAGATTATGCTTTTTAGTATCTTCAACCATCCCAGAGGCATCCAACGAACACTCATCAAGGGTCAAAGATGGACTCGAATAATACCAACCAAACTTAGCCAACCGAGCTAATCCTACTAGCAGAGAAGATCTCAGCCTACCGACACATACCAGATTAACCTTAGCCAACTGACACCGAGTTCAACGGACAATAAAATCAAACATGTAAATTGTCAAGAATATCCTCTATAATCCTCTTTAAAGCAATGATAAAAGCATAACATCATGATATTATATCATTTCCTCTATAAATAAGAAGGTCATTACATGATTGATGCAATGTTTTGTTGCTCACCCATCTCTCTCTCTCACACACACTTTCTCACTCACTCACTTTTTCCCTACTATCTATTTCTTAGGTATAATTCACGGACAAATCAGGATTTGATAGATAAAATTTTGATTTATTAAATTGACCTTAGTACTTTTTGAGTAATTTGTTTGGATGTGTGTTTTATCTAATTCACAAACTATCTTCACCACACCATAGAGTACTCTCAATTTTATTTTAAATTTTTTTATCTATTTTGATGATCATCACGGAAATTTTTTTATTGGAGTCATCTTTCTTAAAAAATTAACGCATTTTGTAAAAACTATATTTCTAGAACCATCTGTGTCCGATCAACAAATCATTTCTCTTTATTTACATCATGATATTATATCATTTCCTCTATAAATAAGGAGGTCATTACATGATTGATGCAATGTTTTGTTGTTCACTCATCTCCATCTCTCTCTCTCACACACTTTCTCACTCACTCACTTTTTCCCTACTATCTATTTCTTAGGTATAATTCATAGACAAATCAAGATTTGTTAGATAAAATTTTGATTTATTAAATTGACCTTTGTACTTTTTGAGTAATTTGTTTGGATGTGTGCTTTATCTAATTCACAAACTATCTTCACCACACCATAGAGTACTCTCAATTTTATTTTAAATTTTTTTTTATCTATTTTTGATGATCATCACGGAATTTTTTTTATTGGAGTCGTCTTTCTTAAAAAATTAATGCATTTTGTAAAAACTATATTTCTAGAACCATATGTGTCCGATCAACAAATCATTTCTCTTTATTGTGATCTAGACATGATATTCTATTTAGTGACTATATTTTCATAAAGTAAGTGTCATATATTTCAAGATATTAGAGATTTTTTATATAGTTTTCAACTAAACATACACTAATTACATAATTACTTATATGCCCTTTTATGTATATTTATATAAGAAATAGATCTTATAAATATCTCCCCCACTCATTTTCCTCAATTTATTCATGGCTGTGAGCTTTAAAAAGAGAAAATTTGAGGAAAAAGAGAGTTTTAGAGAGAGAAGTAGGTATATTATGATTATTATTCTATGTATATTAATTTCTCATGCAAATTCTATCATTAGTCATACTAATATTTACAATTTTTTTGTGTAATGTGTGTTAATATTCACTTTTGTAATATTAAAATATGTTAAAATTATTGATATTCATACACTTTTGTATTATATATATATATATATATATATATATATATAACGATTGTTTATCTTTGTTTTATTCAAAAGAAAATAAAATAAAATTCTTTTAAGTTAAAATTTGAAAATTAATTAAATATTATGACTTACGCGATGTTAGAATTAAAATACAATTGATTATTCAACCAAACAATATTGTATAAATTATCTTAGGTTATCGAACTTAAAGATTGTAGACCCCACGACTTTGATCAGGGTCTTTGAACTAAATGATTTTATTTATTTTTTGAGTAATTTCTTGAATGTTGGATGCTACACTCAAGGCAATGCAAAATCAAGATAACATACAAAATTTATTTCAAACATCATATCAACAATATCAACTAACTTTTAATTATAAAAAGAAGAAAGCAATCAAACTAACATTCTCTATGCCCCGATAAGCACCAAAAGGGAAAATAAATTTGAAAGCATAAGGGAGATTTCCAAGTCCTTGTTGAGGGAAACACTATGTTGACTCAAGCAGTGAGCTTCATATATTTATATAAGACTTATAGGATCATTTATGAGGACTAGTTGGCATTGAATCACCCTATCATACGGCAGGGTTGTTTGTCAGCTATCACTAATTTGAGGACATTAATCTCATACATATATTTCTTTCATTTCAAAGAAACAGCTGAAGGTCTACTTACACTAAAAGTTATAAGTCTTAATTGTAATGAGTTTCCATTTGCAATGTTACAAACCTCATTTTTTAATCAACATTTATGTGATTATTACTTTAAGTGTCCACGTTTTTAGCAACCTTGCTTATCAAGGGGGGCTATAAGACCCTTCATCAACCAATTTTATAATTGGGAAGTTATATGCCCAATTCCTAGGCATCACTATCTGTGAAGTTGTAACTCTAATCTCTAACCAAAGTCATGTTGTATAGGTAATCCAATATTCAAACAAACTATGGCCAACTTATCTACAAGGAGGGGTCATAAGACCCTCATTTGAGCCCCTTTTATATTCAAGGTTTGAAGTATTGACCCCTAATCAATATTAATATAATGTTCAATTCAAACTTAATCAAAATGTACGACAATGGGTTTCCTCGCATTTTGGTTAATGTTTAGTACCAACCATCGAGTCTTCATTTACTTAAAATGAAAGATTTAGTTGTACTCCCTTTGAATAATAAAACAACGAGTCCTACATGAAAAAAATCATAATATTATATCAATATCCATAATTCTTAATCTAACCTTGTTTGAATTTTAACTTTGATTTATCTATAGCTAATGCAATATTATCCCCTTTTGCTTTTTAAGTATTGGTATAAAAAAGATTATTATTCAATCATTTAACATCATCTTAAATTTCCTTTTTTGTGTGTGTTTTGAAAATATTTATCCATCAAATCATCACAAGATCCTTTATAGCTCTCCAAGTATCAATGATAATGCTTTACTACATAATTTTAAAGCCAACTATATTTTAATTCTTTTTATTATTTTTTAATATACTTCACTATATTATTGTTATTTATGAACTTTTAAATTAATTTCTTTCCTAAAACAACCATTCATTAATCTCAAAAAATAATATTTTTCATTTGATTAATATATTTAACCAAAATCTTATTATATTTATTTTTAATGTCTCTAATTTAATCAAAATTCATATATCTCTTCTCTTATTTTAGGTAATCTATTTATCTTATTTTATCATTCATTTAAAATAAACATAATTTATAAATCATCAAAATCTATTTGGACATGAGCAAAAATAAAATATGATAATTTCAATTGCCCTTTTTAACACTTCTTTTACCCTGCTAAATGTGAGCCCACATTTGAACACGTGGACTCACGCTAGCAACCATCCAGGACAGGCTTGACACGTATATGCATCTCAGCCTTTTAGTGTCTACCACGTGTCCAACGGTCAATTTTTTGAATTCAAAACTAATATTGAAATAAAAACGGAGGAGATATCGGCCGCACATTTGAACACGTGGACTCACGCTAGCAACCATCGAGAACAGGCTTGACACGTATATGCATCTCAGCCTTTCACTATCTACCACGTGTCCTACGGTCAATTTTTTGAATTCAAAACGAATATTGAAATAAAAACGGAGGAGAGATCGGCCCGCTTTACTCCAACGGTCATATTTTTGAACGGACTATTTCGACGTTTTATTAAGGCACCCTTCTACTCCTCTTCTTCACGAAAAATTCTACCGTTCCTTCTTTACACACTCTCTTTCTTGAAATCTCAAAGAAACCCTAATCTACCTTATCCATGAATTTCCACTCCCTCGCCCGGAGGGATTTGCAGTTCCTCTGCAAGAAGAACCGCATACCTGCCAACTTGACCAACGTCGCCATGGCCAAAGCCCTCGAAGCTCTCAAAACCGTAATTCTCTATCTATCTACCTATCTGTGTGTGTGTTTATCTCTGCCTCTTTCTTTTGAAATCTGATTACAATACATCTTAAATTTGATGAATCGTTCTCCATTTGAAACAGGTTGAGGGGATAGAGGAGATGCAAGAAGCCCTTGGAATCCGATCTTCCAAGGTAAACTCGCCGGAGCTTCCTCACATTGGCAAGAAAATCTTTACACGTGGAGTCACACATGGAGATGAACCTAAGACCCAGCAGCAGCAGGAACCGAGTCCCATGCCCCGATCACACCGCGTGACCGTTAAAACCCTAGAGGTTAAAAAAATGGCATCAAACGAAGAGGAGGTCCAAGAAAACCTTGGATTCCAATCTCTGAATGTAAAGTCGCCGGAGCTTCCTCATACAGCTCGGCGGACCTCTGCGAGCAAAGCCGCCCATCGCGAAAAGCCTAGCCCGCTGCATAGATCCTGTCTGAAATTGTCTATTGCTTTGGAGGAGGAAGGGGAGAAGAAAAAAGTTCCACAGATTTTACCCAAAACTCCGGCAACAAGAAAAGCAGCGAGAGGAGTAGATGCTCAGAGCTCGAGGAGAATGGTTAAGAAGAATGAGGAGGTCCAAGAAAACCTTGGATTCCAATCTCTTAATGTAAAGTCGCCGGAGCTTCCTCATACGGCTCGACGGACCTCTGCGCGCAGAGCCGCCCATCGCGAAAATCCTAGCCCGCTGCATAGATCCTGTCTGAAATTGTCTATTGCTTTGGAGGAGGAAGGGGAGAAGAAAAAAGTTCCACAGATTTTACCCAAAACTCCGGCAAAAAGAAAAGCAGCAAGAGCAGTAGAAGCTCAGAGCTCGAGGAGACTGGTTAAGAAGAATGAGGATGTTGAATGTCATACTAAAACCCCAAAGGAAGTTGAAGCGAAGGGACAGAAAGCCATTGGTGTGGTTGCTCGCCGAAGCACCAGATTGTCTTCAAGAAAGGCATTGGAAGAGTCTGTCACTGCTCAATCTAAGAGTAAAAGCAGCAGCAGGAAGAATTCAGCTGTCAAGATGGAGGCTTTTGCTAAAGAGGATGCAGGGGAAGTGAAGAAAGGTGAGATATTATAATTAGCTTTGAGGCATCTTGCAATTAGATTTGATGTATATCGTTATCTTTTTTATGCAGATCTTGTTAAGTATGGCGAAGTTGAAAATGAGTGCGAGGCCAGATATGAAAATGTGCACGAGATCCAACAGGAGAAGGGAAGGCTGCATCCTTTATCCAACAGGGTGAACACGAAAGCTCTGGAGGCTACAATTGAAGAGAAAGTTACAATTGTAGATTTAATTGAAGAGAAAGCTGGGGAAAAAGAAAAGGAAGAAGATAAGAGAGGTGAGGTTATGTAACTGATCTTTATAAATTTTTGTTTCCTATGCTTTTTGTAGGGATTGTGCTGATTTATTCATTGTTGATGTAGATCTTGCTGAGAAAAGCGATTCGTGTGCTGTTGCACTTGTTGAGGCAAACAAAGAACAGGATAAAAAAGAAGAAAGCCATGGCTATTGTTCTTTAAGTGAAGTAAAAAATGGCGATTCCATTTCTCCACTAGCTGAGGAAGTCAAAGAGAATAATGAAGAAGTGGAAAACCTTTGCTTTTCATCTTCTACTCAAGTTGAGTACTCTAATATTGAAGTCGAAAATGGCGATTCAACTGTTGCACTTGTAGAGGGAGACGAAAAGAATGATGAAAAACTACAAATCCAGATCTCTTCCTTTTCAATTGAAATGAAGGACTCGAATGTCGAGACAGAAAGCGGCGTCTTCAATGTTGTTCATGTTGAGGAAGAAGGAAGAAACGATCAAGAAGAAAGCCATGAACTTTCTTCTCTTTGTGTAGACAACTCAATAGAACATTGCAATGATCAGTCGCCTGAAAATGATCTTGTGGACAATTCCAGTAACATAGTGCCAACAAATGAAGCTGTGGAGGATTCCTGTGCTGTTACTCTTATTGAGACTAACAAAAAAGACAATAAAAAAGAGGAAAGCCATTGCTATTCTTCTTCAAGCGAAGTAAAAAATGACGATTCCATTGCTCCACTAGTTGAGGAAGTCGAAATGAACAATCCAGAAGTGGAAAACCTTTGCTTTTCATCTTCTACTCAAGTTGACTGGATTATTGAAGTCGGAAATGGCAATTCAACTGTTGCACTTGTAGAGGGAGACGAAAAGTACAATCCAGAACTAGAAATCCAGGACTCGAATGTCGAGACAGAAAGTGACGTCTTCAATGTTGTTCATGTTGAGGGAGAAGGAAGAAACGATCAAGAAGAAATCCGTGAACTCTCTTCTTTTCGTATTGTGGACGATTCCAGTAACATAGTTCCAACAAATGAGGCTGTGGAAGATTCTGTCGACAATTCTTCCCAGGCCAAATTGGCAAGTTCTGCACTTTCAGACAACTTGCTTTGCATTAAGGTGACTCCATTTCCGCATGAAGAAGCTAACGAAACATCCAGTGGAATTGACGAGGAAGCAAGAAAGCTTAGACCCCTCTTCACCCAGATGACTCTGAAAGAAGCAAAACTAATTATTTCTGAGAACATTGATTCTATAACTAATCCAGGCGATGATGTCTCCACCACCGAGGCCAGCGGAGAAATCCCTGGAGAAGTTATGGAATCCGGAGGCGTTCTCATCAGCGAAGTTTCTGTTGCAATTGGAGAAACAATCGACGATGACCTCTCAAACGCAGGAGCACTCAGTGCCATTGATTCCGCTGATGCACAAGGTACCTCCTTTGAGTCTCGAATTCCAGTTTCTTCTATTGAACTCTGCGCCGAGATCTCAGCCGCAGATTCTACAATCGAATGGCCAGATAAAAACGCAAATGAATTACCAGTTGTAATTAAGGAATCATTTGAGGATAGCATTACGGACTCCAGTGAACTCACCGCTAACGGCTTTGTTGATGGGCGGCAGAAAGACGAAACTCTGAAAGACAACTTTTTTGAGCTGCCGAGTCCTGTTTCTTCTGCCGAACTCTGCTCTGACTTCTTAACAGTAGATTCTACCATCGAATCACGTAGAGTCGATCATCATAGTGAAAACCTTCAAGAATCTGTTGAAGATGATTACCTCCACAAACTCGCCGATAACGAGTCCTTTAAAATTTCGCAGAAAACAGAGAATTACCAAAGTGGCTCTCTTAAGCTGCTGAATCCTGTTTCCTGTACTGAACCCTGCTTCAAGCTCTCAACAGTAGATTCCGACATTGATTTCAAGGAGTTCTTTGGGAATATATCAAGTGAAATCTCTGGCTCAATTGACGAATCTGTTAAAGCTGGCTTCTCCGACGAAATCACTTACGAAAAATCTGTATATGCGGAAACTTCTCAGGATGCCTCTTCTGAACCGCAGATTCCTGTTCCTTCCCCTGCTGAAATATGCGTTGAGTTCTCATCAAGTGAAATCTCTGGCTCAATTGACGAATCTGTTGTAGCTGGCCTCCAGAAGTACGACGAAATCACTTATGAAAAATCTGTATATGCGGAAATTTCTCAGGATGCCTCTTCTGAACCGCAGATTCCTGTTCCTTCCCCTGCTGAATTATGCGTTGAGTTCTCATCAAGTGAAATCTCTGACTCAATTGACGAATCTGTTGTAGCTGGCCTCCCGAAGTACGACAAAATCACTTATGAAAAATCTGTATATGCGGAAACTTCTCAAGATGCCTCTTCTGAACCGCAGATTCCTGTTCCTTCCCCTGCTGAATTATGCGTTGAGTTCTCATCCACCTCCTTAGAAACCATTTGTTCCCCTCTCAAGCTTTCATGTGAGTCTGAAACCAGGTCTTTGTTAGAACCATCCATATTTCAAACTCAGCCATCTGAACAAGTCCCAATAGCCACGACAGAGATGGCAGAAGAGAAGGAAGAGACCATGATCAAAGCTTCGAAGAAGGAAGTTTTCCTCAAAGGCGAGAACTTGGAGCTTATGAGTTTGAGGAAGCTTAGGGCACTGTACAAGCAAATGGTGAACGGACCTAAGACTGATGTAAAAGAGAAGAACGAAATCCATATCCTTGTGATTTATTCTCATTTTTATCGCAATTTTTGTTTTTATTTGATCTGCTCTCAACGCTTTTTCATTCCGGGCAGGATAAAAAGAGATCTACGATGATCAAACAACAAGATTTAGAGTGCCTGAGCCGCAGCAAACCCGATTCAAACTACAAGCAGAAGTTGAATGATGATATAACGAAGGCATGCAAAATCTTCCCCATTGATTTCTTTTTTTTCTGCAGAATTTTTACTTAAAAATGGTGCAAAAATATTACTTAACAATCTCCTAATTGTGCTTGCAGTCGGAGAAGAAGAGATCTGTGATCAAACAACAACAAGATTTAGAGTGTCTGAGCCGCAGCAAACTCCATTCAAACAACAAGCAGAAGTTGAATGACGAATTCTTAAAGGTATGCAGAATCTTCCTTGATTGTGTTTTGATGAAGATGTATATTACATGGTTCTCTTTTTCTTAAATATATATAACGTTTGTTTTTGTTTTTTGGTGTGCAGTCTGAGAGGAAGAGAAGAGCTCCGCTGAAGAATCTGAATTACAAGATTCAATTTTGATATGTGCGAAACTTTTTATCTTGACTTCAACTAGGATTAGTTTGATATTTCATTAGTTTGTTATTTTACGCTGAATTAGGTGCTGAACTTTTCATTGTTTTTAGACTATTCCTCTTTAATTTATGTGCCTTTGCTCCATGATATGAGAATTTTTTTTTTTGGGGGGTTGTTGCCATGGATGGGGATTGTTGCCATCAATTTAACTTAAAATAATGGAAGAGAGATGTAATTTTAAGGGAGCTTCTCAAATTAATTTTAAAACTTCCAAGGGAGGGAGCAAAAAATGCCTTTTAAATTAATTGTAGGGATAATTGCATACAGATCACCCAAAACATTGATATTTACAAATTAAACACCAAGATAAATTTTGAAAAATGAAAACACCCTGACCCTTGCTAAATATATTTGAAGACTAAAGGAAGTAATGTTTTAGTCTTCATATTCATCTCCACGTCTCTGTGGTCTTCACATATTTGCTTAGTTTCGCTTTATAATTTAGTAATTGCTGCCAACATTTTTTTACGCTCAAATTTATCATGCTATATTTGAAAATCAATATTTTCTTTAGTAAAGATATCAATGTAACAACTTTTTTGTAATGCTTTAAAATTGGATCCAAATATGAGACTTTTTATCATTAGACCGGATCAACCGATTAGGTTGGCCTGGTCAGTTCAAATATAATTTGAGCCATAAATAAA